AAACATTACTGGAGGCTAATGTCAGCCCTTGCTCTTTAACATTTAAATTTTCACATGTCAGCCCTTTTCATGTCATAAAAATATTCAAACAGTTAAATTTAAAAAATACGGAAGATCTCTGGGACATGTCAGTTAAAGTAGTTAGTTCATTCATAGATATTGTTGCTCCTTATCTAGCTACTATTTTCAATAAATGTGTTGATAATGGCGTGTTTCCTCAATTAATGAAATTTAGCAAATTAATTCCACTCTTTAAATCTGGAGATAGATTTGAGCTAGGCAACTATAGACCAATTTCTATTTTGCCAGTTCTAAGTAAAGTATTTGAAAAGATTATGTTTAACCAAATGTTAAAATACTTCAGGGATAACGGACTGCTTCACAGTCAGCAATATGGTTTCACTGCCGGCAAGTCTACTACTGATGCAGGTGTAGCGCTTATTACACATATATTCGAATCATGGGAAAACTCACAGGATGCTCTCGGCGTTTTTTGTGACTTGTCGAAGGCGTTTGATTGCGTAGATCATGAAACACTTTTGTATAAGCTCAAATATTATGGTATTAGAGATAATGACCTAAGTCTAATGAAAACTTATCTAGAGGATAGGGTGCAAACTGTAGATATTGATGGTGTAAAGTCTAAGGGAACTAATATAAAAATGGGCGTTCCTCAAGGTTCAATATTAGGCCCATTTCTCTTTTTAATTTATATAAATGACCTTCCCTACATGGTAGAGAAAGTTGCAGATATAGTGTTATTTGCGGATGATACTTCGTTAGTGTTTAAAATTGGTTGCCAATGTAATCAATTAGACGATGTAAATTATGCTATCTCTGCTATACTAAATTGGTTCACATGTAATAATCTATTATTGAACTCCAACAAAACTAAGTGCATTAAATTCACGCTGCCTAATGTAAAACAAGTAAATACGCAGCTATTGCTTAATGATGAAATAGTAAATTTTGTTAATGATACAGTTTTTTTAGGAATAACAGTGGACTCGAAGTTACAATGGGGGCCCCATATTTCAAAATTAGCCAGTAGACTTAGTTCTGCTGCTTATGCAATTAGAAGGATAAGGCAATTAACAGACGTGGCGACGGCAAAACTTGTATATTTTAGTTATTTCCATAGCATTATGTCATATGGCATACTGCTATGGGGTAAAACTGCCGATATAAATACTATATTTATTTTACAAAAGAGAGCCATACGTTCTATTTATGGTATGGGTTCTAGAGAGTCATTACGTCAATGCTTTAAACAATCAAATATCCTCACCGTTGCCTCACAGTACATTTATGAAAATATTATGTATACAAGCAAAAACTTAGATAGTTTCAAGAAACTTAAAGACTGTACAAGTAGAAACTTACGCAATAAAAATAAGCTAATTTTACCTAAATGCCGTCTACACAAAGTTAGTAATTCATTTTATGGTAATTGCGTAAGATTCTATAATAAACTGCCAGAGTCTACGCTAAATCTTACAGAGAGGCAATTCAAATCTTATATTAAACAAATGTTATGTAAAAAAGCCTATTATAAGATAGATGAATTTATAGATGATAGCAATATATAGCAAGAATAAGTTTATTTGCGGACAACGTTATAATTTTAATTTTCATACTGCTTTCTTGATATATGATAGCGTAGCGGCTTTTGTATTGATTGCCGCATGCATCCTTATGTAAAGTGCGAATACTGTAACTACCATATAGTAATTTTTGTAGCTGTGACGTGGTCGTGTGGAATGAGTAGTCATGCTCACTAAAATGTCCAGACATGTGGCGGCGTGGTGGGCCGGGTCAATGGGCTCCCTAAAATATGGTCGAGCGCAGTGATGGCTGGCTCATCCGTCGTACTCGTGAACGAGTGCTGCTTGTAGGGACTGGTCTGCTCTTATCACTACGACTGATTTAATCTTATTGCATGATTATATTTGACCCAAAAAATTAGTGCTTGTTGGTAGTTTGTATTCACACGTTTCGACTTGTAAATGTAAACTTACAAGGATTATTTAAAAGAGCAACACACAAGTTTCTTGCTCGTTCTTCTTGTGATGAGACAGCTTTGGTGGTAACGAGTGGTAGATAAAAAACAAATTGTTATGACTATTCAAAAGTGCTTAAATTAAGTTTATTTGAATAAATGAATTCTATTCTATTCTATTCTATTCTTCCCGCGATCTTGACCAGATCGTCGGTCCACCTTGCTGGAGGCCTTCCCACGCTGCGTCTTCCGGTCCGTGGTCGCCACTCGAGGACTTTACTGCCCCAACGGCCATCTGTCCTACGAGCTATGTGCCCTGCCCATTGCCACTTCAAAGTCAAGCTACTAAAATGTCCTACAGGAATACATGATTTGTGATTTGATTTGATTTGAAACGTTCGTCAATGCAGTGACATATACGCTTACAAAAATCAAACGAGCGTCGCGGATGCAATTTTTTTGAAGAAACTTCACATTAAAATAACATTCACACGTGCAACGCAACAGACGCAAAATTCCAAAACGGCAGTTCAACACAAAAACTGTGTCCTATCAATGAATTAGTGCTACTTTGTATGGTAGTTTGTATTCACTAATTTTTACTTAAAATACTAAAATTATTAAAAAGAGCAACGCGCAAGTTTCTTTCTCGTTCTTCTTGTTTGAGTCAGCTTTAGGATAATCGGTAGATTAAAAACTATGTATGACTATTTAAAAGTGCTTCAATTTAAGTTTATTTCCATAAAAATACTCTACTTTTTTTCATATGGATGATAATGTAAAGGTGGAAGCACCTGTGTTTATATTGATTATGTATTTACAAACATATCTTACATATCTTAAGTTTTTATATCACTTGTCTAGTACCCATAACACAAGTTCTATCTAGATGGCGCTGTGTTACTGTAACTACTAGTAACGACTTAATCCGCGTGGAATTTAACTTTAACTTTATTTTTCTAAAATAAAAGTAGCCTAAGTTACTCCTTATTACATCAGCTACCTGCAAATAAAAGTCCCGTCAAATTCGGTCCAGCCATTTCGGAGATTAGCCGGAACAAACAAACAGACAGACAAAAATAGTAACAAAAATTATTTTGGTGTATGTACCGTATTTATATCCATATGCATGTAGCAAAAAACGGTTATTTCAATATTACAAACAGACACTCCAATTTTATTTATATGTGTAGATTTATTTGACATGCACAATGTTTAGTAATTTTTTTAGTCATCGTTCACAATCCTAGAGTGCAACCACATAAGGACAAATGCATGTACCACAACACCGTCAATTTGCCACTCCATTAAAAAAAACAGACTTGTAATCGTAACTGAGTCGTCGACTATGACTCAACCACACTTTTAGAGTTAAGTAAAAAGTTAAAAACAAATCCGTAATACCCTCTGATGAGTGACACGCCGATAAGACTCAACCACGACGCCCGGAATAGCTTTTTCAAGAAACGCATTAACTTTTTTGATTCGTCTATCCACACCCTTTTGTTTCAAGTCCCTGATATTACTTATCTGTCTCCATTCTGATACGGGTGTCCTACATCATAAAAAATAATAAAAAAGCTTTTTTGCGTACATCATTATGGATATTTCTCGTTTTACGACGTAATACGTGTGATTTACGACGGAATCAAACCCACATACTAGTTATAGGTTACATTGAATCCAAACCACCAATGCTGATAGGGTAATAAGATGTCGAGTTATGAAATATTATCAATTTCTTTTTTAATTCCATATCCAGTTGAGAATTTTTTAATGTTTTATGCACTAATATAAAAAAACTGGTTTAAATCTATATGACAGAATTTGATTTTCTTTTGTAAATATACATCCAGAAAACACCCAGAGCGATACAAATAATCATACTCATGAATACAAATACTTACACCGCGCGAGGAATCGAACCCGCGACCATCGGAAGTAAAGCGGTTAAACCGCTACACCACCGAGGCAAAAAATAAAAAAAAATACAGATACGACTCAATTCAATGCATCATAAAGTTTATACACAAAACATGATGCGCTCGAGAATGTATCGGAAATTCGAAAACAAACATCGGTACTTAACTCGCCACTTAACTGTAACATACTGTACAATAAAAAAAAAACAACAAACACGCACTTCAATGGTTATAGCAACACATCGCCCTGGGCTAGGGTTGCCAGATCGCTGAATTACTACCCGGACAGACCAGCCATTCAGTTTGGCTGGATATTTGGGTAGAAAGAGTGGACAAACTACATTATGTGTGTCAGTATTAATAGAGAAAAAATTGTATGTAAAAATCAAGATTAATAAATTGTAATGAAATATTAATGAAATCGAATGCCAAATCAGAATATTGTTAATCGGTAAAAAATAAAATAATTTTGTATTATTTAAAAACATTATTACTTAAGTTCATATTAAATTATATTTTTAAAAAGCAAGATTAACAAGATGTTAAATTCTGATTAATTGAATGCCACATTAGATTAATATTAATCAGTCAGAAATAAATTCTATTTGTATTTATTTATCAACATTTAAAATTATTTTACTAATTTCAAAAACCATAACAAAAACGTAAACAAAACAAGTCTGCTTTTGTTTAAGTTGAACAATGAAAATAATTATTAGATTAGCAAAAAAAATAATGTAAAAAGTCTACCTATAGCCGGACAAACCGGACACCGTTTATTTTGTCCGGCCACGCAATCGAAAAGCCTAACTATGTCCGGCGTTACCCGGACGCCTGGCAACACTAAGTGCATATAAACAAGGTTACAGCAAAACATCGCCCCGGGCGTATCGATGCGTCGACGGCCCGTGCTTTTAAAATGCTAACCCATCCTGCAAGAAAGGGACGGGTGCCGACCACGTGGGAAGTGGATTCCGAACGCACGCACCCCCGCCCGTTCCCCGACCTCACCCCCGCCCGCCCCCACCCCTCCGCGTGGCGCCGCGCGCACTCAGTCGCGCGCCGACCACCGTATCGGCAACACTTCCTTAAAAACTCCTTGTAACCTTAGCACCCGCCCTGACGTTGTGCAGTGACCGAGTGAGAACGCATACGCTGTGATTTGTTTTGAGTGTGACGTCATTAGTGCGAGTTGTGAACGCAACAGAAGTGTGTTTTAGTGCACTATGCGGTTGTTTGCAACGTTATGAATGGTCTCGATCGCTGCTTCTTCGATCAACGTAAGTTTGTGTTTTGGATATCGTAAGATATTGTGAATTAAACGTTATAGGAACGCAATGCGGTTAGAGGGTTTATATATTCATTTAATAGGTCGGTTGCGGCATTTCGAATATATACAACTCCTGTGCGGGTAAACGTTACGTTATTTCAATTAATTTACGGCTGCAGACGCTGCAACAATCAGTTGTCTGAACGTTAATTTAAATATGAATAAACGCACTATAAAACTGAATTGCAGTTGTATGCAAATTCACAATTTATATGGAACTGTAAACAATTTTTAATCTACCACTGAATTTTGTCCATACAGTTAACGTTATACTTAATACAACGTGGCTAAAATTAAAAACCTAAATATTATAATATCTAATCTTTCTAGAAATAAAATTTGTAGATTAGATATGACGATTTTTCTAGTAAATTATATTTTATATCGCGTAATTAAAATATAATTTCATAGATAATATTAAATATGGATAACAGAGACGGTTTTTCTTCAAAATTAGAGCAAAATTAAGCAAAAACAATAAGTAAGCATACCGTACGCGATTTTTAATATATAATTTCTTAGGTATATACCTAAGAAATTATATATTAAAAATCGCGTAATTACAATATAATTTCAAAATAGACAATATTAAATTTACAACACAGTGGTTTTTGTTCAAAATTGCGTAAAAACTATATCACTAAGTAATCGTTTTATACCTAAATCAGTTATGAATAGTATCGCTACAAAATCTAGAAAATTATTTATTTATTTACATTACTTTACACAATTAAGGTATATAGTGAATTAATTCATACACATAACATACACGTTTTAGGCACTGCAACGAAGAATTAGAGTCAAAATCGACTAAAATTAAATCACCAAGTAACAGTAGTATATCTAAGGTAATGTTAGAGTTACAGAATAAATATTCCAATAGGAATCCAACGATTATTGTATCGTAAAACACATTTAATAGACGTAAATCCAAACATGAGAATACAATCATTTACGAAACTACCACAATAACTCGAGTCAGTGAACCTGACCGATACAACTCAATGAGCCCATTGGTCCGACAGTCCTAATAAAACTAGCTGTTCTCGCGACTTCGTACGCGTGGAATTTAACTTTATTTTACTAAAATAAAAGTAGCCTAAGTTACTCCTTATTACATTCGCTACCTGCCAATAAAAGTCCCATTAAAATCGGTCCAGCCATTTCAGAGATTAGCCGGAACAGACAGCAAATTGTAAAAAATGTTATTTTGGTGCTATATTATTGTAAAGTTTAATCACATTCCGTTCAGTAGTTTTTGCGTGAAAAAGTAAGAAACGTCCGTCCATACCCACAAACTTTGGTGTTTATGATATTATTAAGAATCTCGTGTCACAATGTTAGTTACCATACTCCTCATGAACTTGACCGATTTTTATGAAATGTTATACGCATATTCAGTAGATCTGAGAATCGGCTACTATCTATTTTACATACGTGTTAAGTTCTAAGTGATAAGTAGTCCACCCCTAACCTTTTTTTTTATTTTGGGGACAATTTTTTTTTATAATGTGGTACTATCTATTTTTCATATCCCTAAGTGATAACTTGTTCACCCCTAACATTTTTTTTTTTAATTATTCGGACAAATTTGTTTACTTAGTTTTATTTTATATGGCATTAAAAATACATGCAATCCTAATTTTCACTCTACTATCACCAACCCCTATTTTTTAATAGCGTTTTTAATTTATATGGCAAAACATTTGCCGAGTCAGCTAGTTGTAAATATAAAACAGTGTTATTTGTGGATATTGTGACTGGTACAAGTTCCAAGAACAGTTGGGAAAGTAAACAATTTATTTACACAGATAAGTAACGAGAGCAAAGCTTAAATTGATCGTTTGTCCAATTAGAAGTGGAATGGACTACGGTTGATAATGTTTTGATTATACCATATGTTTGAAAAATCATTGCGTTTGATTGCTAGTTCTATTTAGAAGTTTCAAAAACATACTTAGGAAAATACCTATTTTTTATTTAAGTATTCTTGTTTCAAAAACATGTTCAGAAAAGTATCCATATTTTTTAGCGTTGTCAATAAACATATAGATAGATAAATTCTTTATTCCTCAATTAAAAATCCATGGCATACATGAGGTACAGAAAAATACATGACAAATAAACAAAATTGACGTGACTTATGTGCCGTAAAAGTGATGGAATAAATAGTAACTACGGTCGATAAAGAAATTACTTAATGAAAAAAAGATTTTAATGAGTACGGTCTGTTTGAAAAATCATTTTGAACAACCAACTTACAATTCAGTCTAATTTTATCTAATTACTATGTAATGTTTATATGTATAAAATGAAGTCGCTTTCGGTGTCTGTTTGTAGTATATATATTAGTAATAGATAGAGTGATTCAAAAGATAAATTTATATGTATATTACATGTACACCCGTGCCAAGCCTGGGCAGGTAGCTAGTATTTTATAAACGTTTTTAAAGAATTATACATCCAGCAATTAATCGGTTTGAGATCACGAAACCAAAACTAATATGCAATTAATATTCTCTAATCGAAAACTTAATAATCACTAAGGTAGTGTTTAATAACATGAGTATGGAAATAAACATAACTAACCGTTAATCTGTTTAATATATATTAGAGGTAATAAATCAAAGTGGAAAGGAACTTAAAGTTTTTGAGTAAACAAAAAATGTATCTCGAGTAAAACGAGAGCGTAATCGATAGCCAATAAGGGATCAACAAATCACACCTTGTCCCAACACCTCCGTGTTAAACAAATATAAATCACCAAACATTGATGGCAAATAATAAGAAAAAAGTATTTAAATAGTCCAACCGCAGTGGACCACCCGTGCGATCCCTCCGACTCCATCTGTGGCACGCACGTCCCCATTATACTATCAAAAGATACTAGACCCGCCCGTTTATATTCAGTTTTTACGTAATTTACATCTCCACTATTCTTAAACACGTCTATTTCTTTTTCTGAACCAGCTTCGGGACATGGCTTTGTTTGAGAATCGACTGCAAAGCTGCTGTGTCACTCGGCCCGTGTTGTTGTTATTCTAACCTGTTTTGAATAGAATTCATCTTTATCAATTACATTATCGGCTACCGGCACTCGGAACATTTTTTACACAACATCAACCAGGACTTGTGCTGGTCTATTATTAACAACGTTAAACTTTTATTGGATTAGTTTAGTCAGTTTTTCTTTTATACCCATCAATATTCGACTTTCGTGCGCACTATTCCCAGTAAATTGAATTCAATCACGATTGTTTCCCAAATTCCCATTCTATAGCTATTTTGAGCGATAGTTTGTAAATAACAGGGTGGCATGTTTAACTTTCTGAGTGACTGCAACAGACCTGCACGGAATCTTAACTATTTCCCCTTAAGTTTCCGGTTAATTTAACTCGAGGTCGACACATGCATCCAAACGGCACTCAAAAGACAACACGATGGAACTCCCACGTGTGTTAAACAAACAACAACCTTCCCAGAAACACAATGTCATCGGAGACAAAAACGACTCGCCCTAATTGCCAACAAAGTTACAACAATATGGTCGAAGTCTTCCTAATAATAATTACATGTTGCACCCAAACATTACGGTCCGAGAGAGCCCTATAAAATCATGTTGTAATTAAAGGTTTCCACGAATCGTTATTACACACGATAGAAAAATACTCATAGAATAGGTAATCGATAACGAATTCGATACGGATGGGGAGCTAGGGAAACGGTTCGGAGATGCATTTAAAGATACAACTTTTATTGGGGCCAATAAAAGAGTTATGGGTAGGTAAACGATCAAACTTAAACGGCATAAAAACACAATACTTTCGCTCATTGTTTGATACGTTAACCGCGATCGTAAACTTGGGACAAATTGGTTTTAAAGGACCCCAGGCTGGCTTATGGCTTTTTTTGTAAAGTTTATTGCGATACTCTTACGCGATTGTTGGGCATAAATTTTCGAGCTGCCACTTTCAGCGGAGTTGCATTTCCTATTTTGGACTGATGTCCATATATTTCGCTATGGTCAGGCTTTTGCAATTGCGAAAGAGAACGTGTTCGTGTCTGTTTCAATTTATATTGCAACTAAAAATATATAAAAGGCAACAAGTTGCAACCACTTTTGTTTACCCTTACAAATCAATATAGATATTTTTAACTCTTAAATAATGGAATGGTGCATCCCTCTGCGGTAATGGTTTACTCTGACGGGGTACCAGTGGAGGATGATAAGTTGATGAGCTCAGGTCACTTTGATGGATTTTATCATCAAGGTTTCTCCGGGAACCCGCGTTGCTAGCAATGTCAAATTTATCAGGAATCGATCGTATCAAATTATGATGGTTTCCAAGTTGCCAGCTATGTGGTCAGCGGTCCACATTACTGAGAATCTCCTTCCTCCAATATTCGTATCATTATCATCATCATTATATAGTATAAAATAAAGTCGCTGTCGCTGTCTGCCCGTCCCTATATTTACAGCGGATTTTGAAGCGGTTTCTTTAATAGATAGAGTGATTCAAGAGGAGAGGAGGAGAGGTCTGTGTGTAATTTATAGTTATGATTGTTTGTCAGGTGGTCGAAACACCTTTAACGAACCAAATTAATTATTACATAGTATAAAACAAAATCGCTGTCGCTTAAATCTTGAAAACTACGCAACGAATTTTGAAGCGGTATTTTTTAATAGATAAAGTGATACAAGAGGAAGGTTTCCTTGAATCTAATCTAAACTAGGATTGTCATTGTTTGTCACCCTTATAATATCACTACCCCATTGTATAGTCACAATTAATTTAACGATCGGTTAATTAAGTATTGTCGATGTGGTGCTAATTACCCATAATTAGAGAGGCGCATTATTACTAAATACGCTAGTTTGGTGTCGGCTGGCTGGCATCTGTTCCCCGAAATTGGGTTAAGCATCAATCATCCTGATAACGTTTAATAACA